AGAGGATGCGCCGCCGGGCCTGGAGGTGGAGGGCGGCCCAAGGGCATCTTTCGGGCTCCGGGCGCTCTTCCTTCCTTCCTTCTTTCCTTCCTTCCGCGCCCGCCGGCCGGCCGGACCCGCCCAGGAACTCTTGGACAGCCCCCCCAAGTGGGCAGGGCGCCCTCGGCGTCCCAGGGGGTCTCGAGGGTCAAGCGCCTCGCGCCTGTCTTAGCCAATCGGTGCGCAAAAGGAGGCCGAGCCCCCGGGAGGGCGGGATCCCTGGCCAGAGCGCTCGCTCGCCCGCCCGCCCGCGCGCTCTCCCGAGACACGCGCCCAGCTGGCCATTCATAAAAAGATGCGAGAACAAAAATGGAGTACAGTACCAAAAGAATAAGGATGCTGGTAGAGATAGCGGCTGCAAACTCTCCAGAATATAACTGATGGGCTGGGACAACCTTCCCAACCCGAGACCCTCCAGATGTGTGGGCTTTCTACTGTGATGACTCTCCAGTCAGATGGCCAAAAAGCTGAGGAACGATGAGAACCGAGTTCGAGGCGCGTATGGAAGGCAGGCCCGGGGACCTTTTGCCAGCTTCTGAATCCTTCCCCGCCGGCATGCCCCACTCGGTCCGACAAATTCCCAGTGGCTGTTTCTTAATTCCTGTGGCAGTAAAACCCCTGAGTGCCTGATTTTGGTATATCAAATCTATGCAGAACTTACAAAAGGAACAGATTCGGTGGTTTGAATTTGGGCAGTGTGTGGACAAATGAATCCCACTCCCCCCCCCCCCAAAATCTGGTCCTTAGATGGATGGGTTGCCAGGGAGAAGACCTGTTGTTTCAGATGTTGCAGATTATATTTTTCAGATGGGAATCCGTGATTTGGGTCTCTTGATACCCTTTTTGACACAGTCTTGGGTGCACCCTGATTCCACCATAGCCTAGCATCTCATGGAGATAAATGTGAATTGTCTGCAGCTTCCACCTGCATTTCACCTACATTCCACCCTAAGACTGGGCATAGAATGTGCAGCATGTGTTTATATTCGTGAGATGGGTGGCTATATAAATTTGAAAAACAAACAAACAAACCTGCTAAGCCATCATGTAGTTTGTTTAGACTTAGTGGGATTTATGAACTCAGCCACTCTGATTTGTAAACCATAATTTATCGTTTAGGGCATTAGGCAAATTCCCCATCATGTTTGTCTAGCTTGTTGTGTGAACCAGGCTGCCAAATGCAGATCCAACCCCAATCCCTTTCTCTAACTGTTCCTCCTTTGTTTTCCAGCTTGAATTGGGTTACTATGGCTTGCTGAAAAAAATCATGTTTAAATATAAGTCCACCTTAGATTTTTTTTTTATCCTGACTTTCTTATTTTTAAATAACTCAAGGTGGCGAGCATACCTAATACTCCTTCCTCCTCCTATTTCCCTGCAACAAAAACCCTGTGAGGTGAGCTGGGCTGCGAGAGAGAGGGGCTGGCCCAAAGCCACCCAGCTGGCTTTCATGCCTAAGGCAGGACTACAACTCACAGGAGGCTCCTGGTTTCTAGCCTGGTGTCTTAACCACTAGACCAAACTGGCTCTCAAGAATGCCTTAGCAACCATTCTGGCTGTCTTGTGGGAAGGCAAATCCCCCAGCGCAAGGCTTTTGGAATAGCAATAAGTTGGGGAGTAAAAACTGATATCAGCATACTGGTACAGCAGTCTTAAAGACACAAGTGGGTGGTCTTCCTTTCCCATGCTCAGCGACTTTCTATCCATGGCTAAAAGCAAAAAATGGCCACCAGGTTTAGCTTTTAAAGACCAGCTGCCTTTTTCTTTTAAATTTAACCTTTGTAAAGGAAGAACATAATTATGCTTTCATCCCCTATTATTTTCAGTGGTCTGGCAGGCATTTTGCACCTGCTGCCTTCAAAGGCTGGGCTTTGCATAGGCATCTCCCTTGTCCTGGCCATTGCACACCACAGCCTCAGGACTTAATCATTAAGCTCACTCCTGAAGAGCAGGATTTACAGCTGGCCAGGAGTGGGTGGCTAAAGCAGGCAACAGGCATGCTGCAGTGAGAGGGGTGATGCATGGCGGGACCTGGGGCTGTGGCATTCTTTGATTTTAGATCTTGATGCCAGAGGGAGCAGATGCTGCTGCAACCGTGCTTTGAAAATCCATGGGATAATTCTGAGAGACGAGAATCTTTGAGCTTCTTTTCAAATGCTGAAAACTCTGTTTCCTTCTGTGGAAGTTAAGCCCTCTTAAGTTGAAGGAGAAGCACCCCAGATCCCGGCCTTTAGCGATTTGTCTAAAAAAAGGGCTATGCACACATACTAAGCTATAGTGTAAACAATTGACTAACTGGGTTTATGCAACATATCCCCTTTTAGTTAGTGCAATGTGGAAGCCCAGTCCGAGTGCTCCTAGTTAATGGTTGAGTAGGGCTAGTAAATCTGGGCTGCAAAAATGCAGATGATCACTTGAGGGCAGCAGAGAGAGTCTTTGGTATCTGGACTGCCATCCATAGGCCAAGCAGGAATCCTGCAGGGTTGTAGTACAGATACGGAAATCTTAAAATGGGGTTTCATGCATCCTATGTATTTACAAGACACACCATGGTTTACCCCAAAATGGATTAATGAATACAATCTTTTGCTTTGCATGCCTTATGAAGACATTCCCTAATGGGCTGGGTCCATGCAACACCCTGGGGGTTTAAAAAAAATGTTTGGCTAGCTTGTGGTTTAGTGTGTTATAGGAGTTCTGGGTAATTTTAATTTTAATTAATTTCCTGAAAAAGTGGCAGTCCGCACAAAGCTGGTGGGGGAGATGAGACTTTCTATGGTTGCTGGATTATAAATCCATGCTGCAAGTAAGCCAACTGTACACGCCTCATGGTAAGCCAAACGATGGTGTCTTTTAACCAGGAGTCGAAGAAGAAGCCACAACTTGCTGGATTTACACAACACACCAAACCAAAACCAAACAAACTCGAGTGGCCGTGTTTGCACAAGAATCTGAATCCCTAATTAACCAGCCACATTTTAGGCTTATGAGTGGCGCAAACCTGTGGTAGTTGGTTTATAATTCAGGGTTAACATTACCAGAACTGGGCTTCATAAATCTGGATGAGCATGAGGTGGCAGGAAAGAATTAGTCTGCTCTCTGGTAGCCCTTTGGATTTTTGGCAGCCCGGATCCCATCGTCCTGTTTGGGAAGTTGTGGGATCTCAGAAAATTGGGTGAACTCAGCAAACCGTGGTTCACTTAAAGAAGGGCATACATATTATATATTACGCAAAGACAGCAACCTTGGTTTAGCCCCAGGGTGAGCCCAGGGCCCGCAAATGGGATGGTGCGGGATCCCCGCTCCTCCGCCCGCGCCCTCCTAGACCTTCCGCTAGAAGGCGCTCCTTCTCCAACGATAGCGGGGTCGCCATCTGGAGCCAGCTAATCTCGAGCAACGTTTTCCTGGGTTCTGCGGCTTCGCGGTGCGTATTTTAAGCCTTGACGGCGGCGATGGGCTAATGAGACATTGTCGCGGTCGGCTGATCCCGCGGCCGTGCCGCGCTTTCTTTGGCCCCTTTCAGGGCGGGGGCTACCAGCCAACGGGCCACTTTTCTCCCTCCCAGGTGGAATCATAGACTAGAAAAGCAAAGCGGATCTTGAGGGGCTGGGAAGGCGTCTAACCGCCCTTCGGCGAAGCGGACCTCACCCTGAGATCGGTGGCCGAGCGCGGCGGCTGGGAACCCGGTCCTTTTCCTCCCTTTGATGCAAGAGAGAAAGGCGCGTTGGTTTCCCCTATAGAGACGCCCCTCCCGCGAGACAGGTAAGAAGGGGGGGGGGGGATGGTACGGCCTCTCGGCCCGGACTTGAGCTGCGTGCCCCAGCTCTGCAGAAACAGGCAGGCGTTCGCCGTCTGCTTTCCCCGACCACATCCAATGGGCAGAGACGACAACCGGCTGGGGATGTTGGGAGCTGTGTTCCGCTAGCCTACCCCACGGTACTGAGGTGGGAAAAATTGGCCAAAGGAGTGCGTGGACCCGCTTTAAGCCCCCGGAGGAAAAGCAGGACGAAGAGATAAGGAAATAAATCCAGCCGGAAAGCAGTTGCCCCCCACCCCATCCCGCCCGTCCGAAATTGCACAACTGCATTAGAATCACTTTATTTATTGAAAGTTATTCACTGAAACCTTCGGGAGAAGCCATGTGCATTCACACGTGGGGGTTTTGTTCAGACTTTTTCTTTAACGCCCTGGAAACTATCAGTATCGCTCTCGCTCTCTCATCCACTGAAAGCAGTGAGAGGTAAGTTAGGGATCGGAAAGATTTCACTGGGTGAGTAGAAGGTGGACCCAACTCAAACTGTCAGAAGTTCGATGTAAGTGCGTCGGAAATGCCCACTGCCCCAAAAGATACACTCAGTCGCGTGTACGCTGGATCTTACGCAAAAGCCCCACTGAGCACGTGAATGAACACGGCCGAAAACCGCCCAACGTGGGAATCGGACCTTTTCCGTAATATTAGAGAGGCGGTCGATCCCCACGTGCGAGGGAGCGCTCCGTGTTGAATCCGTCCTGTTACACCTCTGTCCACAGGAGCACGCTTACTAAGGGAAGCCAGGATTCCTGGATTAACAGCTGGGGTTGAGGCTGGGTTCATGCCACAGTCGGGGACGAGGCCACCAGATCTGTCACCTCGTTTCGTGCGATCCCAGTCGGCCGATTAGCCACCACGCTGGGCGCGAAACCTGCGCGGTCTCCCGAGGCGGCTTCTGGGCTAAAGGGGCGCCGGGAGCCGCCAAGTGGCATCACCCTGGCCCGGGAGCCCGACGCGGCTCCGAGAAACGTGCGCAAGCGCCCCCTCCTGCCGTTCCCGCACGCCCAACCGAGCTGCGGGCAGTCGCGGGCTCGCGCCAGGCATTCCGGCGCAGGAGGGTTGGCGCGCACCCGGTTGCCCCGCCTGGCTCGCAGGCGCAGCCCTGCGCG